CATGAAGCTAGGACTTCCATGGGTTTTCTTCACTTGCAAGAAGCAGATTTGTACTGTACCTGGCTTTACATAGGGAGGGCTTGTGCAGAGAAGAACGTGGCTGTAGAAGGAGATCCAGGAGCATTGCCCAAAAAGAGGTACCCATGAAATAGCCATGAAAATGGGGAGTTGTCCTATGGACAGTTCATTCTCCCACTTAGAGAGAGCTTCATAGTACTCTAAGCATGTCATATATCCTTACCTACACAAAGTGATATGCTTGCTGGGAAGTTATGATTGGACCCTACTCTTCAGTGTCTGGAGACTCCAATGCCTTCTGTTCTTTCAGGCAATAAAGTCAAAGGATAATTTGGACAGATGCTAACCTGAGCCTCGAGGACAGCTTGGGACAAGAGGGTCTATGCTCAATGCATCTAGAATATGGCACAAGCAAATAATTCCTTATTAATTGCTCGAGAAATCATCCTTTCTGCTCACCCTCTTCTCAGAGAACCTAACTTTCACATTTGATGTTGGCTTTCACAACAACTCATACTGTCTTCAACTCTGTAATCTCCTAAATTTTGTTTATTTTTGTTTTATTTTCAGCTTGTCTTTTTAAAATAGAATTGACTTGTACTTTTTGAAAACAATACTTGTTTTCTCTCCATTTATTTGCTTTATTTCATAGCCTATAATTCAGGCTTTGGGAAACTTATCCCATGATAAATTCCTTTCAAAACAAAATATATTGTCTTGCCCGTTTCTCACAGATTGGCCTTGGAACCTGCCTGGGACCACATGCTTACCGCTATCAGCACAAGCAAAGAGTTTCCAAGGACACACATTTACTGTAACGAGATACTTGGCCCAGGATGAGAGAAAACTAATGTTTCTTTTCTTATGCACAACGTCCTCATTTGTTACATGCATAATACCCAGTCTGGCTATTTTCCTTCCTATGAAAGGTTATTAGAATATAGTTCCACATTTAGGTTCTGTAATATTATAAACAAGGAAACAAACCCAGCTATGTCAATGTCCTTAGTATAATCTGAATATGTCCCCTCTCTACACTGATAAAACATTTTGATCAGAAGAGATTTGCAGACCCAGTCCAGAGTCCCTGTATTCTAGCAGTT